TATCTTGTATGGGTCCCGGGTGAAGATGTTTAGGTTGATAGTCATATTGTGAACCCGATGCCGGCGTCGCCATTTCAATCCTACACAAGGTAACCAATACAAACATCAATGGCCTAACTCATTATTTGGCCAAATTCAACGCAAACCAAAAAAGACACAATATCTAAGACCACAAAAAAAGCACAAAATATGGTATTCAAACCCTGAAAATGTTGTTACAATATCAAACCGACTAACACCAATATACACCAATATAACACACTAGTTACACCAATATACAATATCAAACTAACACAACTAACACCAAACTAACAGGCACGTTTAAATCAGCATTTACATTCATCAATTGATCACACAACTAACCGACTATATTATCACCAATATAACACACTAGTTACACCAATATACAATATCAAACTAACACAACTAACACCAAACTAACAGGCACGTTTAAATCAGCATTTACATTCATCAATTGATCACACAACTAACCGACTATATTATCACCAATATAAACTAACTCATTGTTTTTCAAAATCACCAAACTAACCGACGCACAACTAACCAACGAATCCCGAATTGGCAATTCAATATCACCAAACAAACATCAAACTAACTCATTGCTTTTCAATTTCACTACATTCGGATTTCTGAAAAAAAAAATTTGAAAAACAAAAACTTACCGTGAGTTTCACAGGGTCGCCGGGAGGAGTGGAGGAAGTCGCCGGAGGTGGAGAGAGTCGGAGGGAGTCGCCGGGAGGTGGAGAGAGTCGGAATGATGTTCCAGGGGGGTTTGGAGAGCCGCCGGGAAAGTTGGAGGGAGTCGCTGGGAATTCTGGAATTGGAGTCGCCAGATTGAGTGGACGGTCGCTGGATTGAGTGGAGGGAGTGGAGGAAGTCGCCGGATTGAGTGGAGGGAGTGGAGGGAGTCGCCGGATTTGGGGGAAAATTTTTTAGGGTTTTTTAAATCGGGATTTGAGGGAAAAATGGGAGGAGAAAGAGTTGACCGGCTATATATAGCCCCGTTAAACTCGGATTTCCTAAATCCGAACCTCCACTGTTTTCCTCAAATTCCAACTCTCGGATGGTTTCACAAATTCGGATTTATGAAATCCGAGTCCTTTGTAAATTCAAAAAAACTCTGAGCTCAGATTTCCTAAATCCGAACCTTCACTGTTTTTCCTCAAATTTCAACTCTCGGATGGTTTTCACAAAGTCGGATTTCCGAAATCCGAGTCCTTTGTAAACTCAAAAAAAGTCTGAGCTCGGATTACAGAAATCCGAGTCTCCCCTGTTTCTCCTCAAATCACAACTCTCGGATGGTTTTCACAAAGTCGGATTTCCAGATTCCAAGTCCTTTGCAAATTGAAAAAAAAAAAGTCTGAGCTCGGATTTCGGAAATCCGGGTGCTTTAGAAAACCTTAAATGTGCTGAGTATTTTGCACAATCCCAAACCCTGTTATGAAAAACTACTACATATTTCATCACACTTTACAATCCGAACAATGCAATGTTCACATTACAATCTGAATTTATCAACGTTCACATAAATTTATCAAACACTAAATGACTCTCAATTCCAGTTGTCATCCACAGGTCTTCTATCTACTCCTGGCTGCGAGAACGGACAAGAATTGGCATCATGACCTAGTTGTCCACATCTCCAACATTCCCCCCGGCTCCGGCGTCCCCTGTAATCCATTTGCATTCTATGTCTCCTTTTTTGTCTTCGTCCCGATCCCGCATGCAACACTAGACGCTCATAATTCGGAATATGGTTCCAATTGACCACCGGCCATTGTTCCTCATCAGGAACTGGAACAAAGCCCGTGTAATCAAATTGTCTGCGCCACATTGGAAGGCGCCACACACTATGGTATAGATCAATAGGCCGATCCCTTTTTCTCCGACAAACTTGGAGTGCGTGCATACAAGGCATCCGATTCTATCATACACAACCCATAACCTCAAATTCCTCATAAAAAATGTCCAACTCTTTACTGTCTCCTCATCCACAATCGCAACTGCAACCGGTAAAATGTGCTTGTTTGTGGTATAGACCACCGCAACAAGCAATTTACCCTTGTATCCACCACGCAAAAAGGTTCCATCGATACAAATGACCGGTGGACATTCAAAAAACGTCTTAGCCACTGGTACAAATGACCAGAAGACGTATTTAAATGTCCTATTTCCCCTGTTCCAACCTTCTTGTCCCTCCTTCCATTCCCACTCTACTACAGTCTTAGGATTAGTAAACTTAAGCGCAGCGATATACCTACACAGCAACAAGTCATTGTTAAAATATTTCAATACATGTAAAAAAAAACACTAAAAATATTTCAATACACGGATAAAAGTTGATATTTACCGTGGAAGTTCTTCGAAATTCGAGGTCCAATCACCATAGACCGCTTCTATGGCTTTCCTCCTCCCGTGCCACGCCCTTTTGTATGGCACATCTACTTTCAATAAGGTTTTCACATCTTTCTGTGCCGAGGCTACCGTATAATCTACGTTGTCCTCAACCTTTCTCCTGATGAGTCTAGCAATCAAAGATGCGTCCACACACCGATTGTCATTATCATTCACGGGAGTCATGCAATTATGTGCATCATGCCATCTCACAATTTCATGAAGGCCGTGAGCTTTTCATGACACACGCATCTTCCACTCACATGGTGATTCACCATCCTCACTTTCCACATCAAATGTTCGGCACCACACAGCCCACGTCCTTGGACTACTCGCGGTGACCGTATATTCCCTTTTATGATGGATGTTCCATAATTTCACAGCATGTTTTTGCTTCTGATTGAGATTTGAAACAAACACCAATGTCCATTCCTTCGGGCGTCTCATCCCACATCTTAAGAGCAAACTCATCCTTGTCCACACATGAGGCATCCCATTTCTCCATCTTACTATGTACATGGCATCGGGCCAATGGATTACAATCCCTTTCCTCATTTCCAACCTTTCATCATCACTTTCTTCAAAATCACTCTCTTCGGAGACATCACAGTCTTCTTCGCTTTCACTTGGAGCTATGTAGTCGGAATCCGACTCTTCCCGGTAGTCATCTTGTGCAAATAAAGGTGTCTCCTCTTCATCACGGTTTCGAGAAGTACTAGCACGTTCCCCCTTGGAAAACCACCAAATGACTTGTTTTCCAAACTCGCTTCTCTTTCTTCTTCAGTGATATCTTCCAAGTCTATGTATAAATCCAAACATGACATTGGATCTACACGGTTCATGAACTCTACATGCGAATCATTCTTGATCTTCACTACACGCCTACCACCGGGACTATCGAAAATCAAAGAAAGGTGGAGTTTCATGTGTGCTGGATCCCAACCAAGTATCATACAAATCTTACTAATCAATCCCTCATATGACAACCTTTCTTCGACAAACAAACCATCATCCGGCATATTCGAAAAAGTGTTGATGCTACCGTTCTCTATCACGTACTTACTTGTATGATACAAATTAAGCATGTATGATACATTATATGCCATTGATAACTGTTAAAAAAAACATCAATAACTAATCATTTCTTAATAACAAAATCAACAAATACACCATACATACTCCATTCATAATTCAAAAAACCTATAACATACTAAAATACTTATAAATCAACTTCGATATCTCATGAACAACTATGATTTCTCATCTCTAACCTCAAAATCAACATCTAAAACATCCAAACAACCAATTAACATAAACCCTAAGCTATCATACATTATTCTAACAATCAAAATAACACAAAACTAAACTAAATAACATGGTTTTGCAATCTAACCTCTTTCAAATAACGATTCCCACGTATCTAGAGGCAAGAATGCATCAAAAGCTCCAATTCGCCCTTGTTTGAGCTGCAAAAACAGAAAATTCAATTCAGTTCTCGAATGAGAACTGTCTGAAATTTTTTTTCTTTTATAGCACGTTAAACTCAGATTTAAGAAATCCGAGTCCGTAAGTAACTCGGATTTTCGAAATCCGAATTACTCTAGCCTCGGATTTCATGAATCCGGATTTAGTCAATTCCGGATTATTTTATTCATTTTTTGGTCCTCCAATTTATGGCACATGCCTACTTCCACCAACCAAAATTAAAGGCAGTCGGATTTCCAAAATCCGAATTCATAAAACAGGATTACGGACTTCCGGTTTTTGGATTCAAGAATTTCGCGCCGCGATTTTCTTTTTTTCTTTTTTCTTTTTGTACACTCGGATTTTGAAAATCCGAGTACTACTATTCATTTAAGGTTTGAGTTCAAATTTTTCGCGCCTCAATTTACTATTTTTTAAGTAAATTCGAATTTCGCAAATCCGACCGGCACTGTTTATTTAATAATTTTTAAAAAACTATTATTCAACAAAATTTATTTAATTATTATTTTTTTAATAAATATAAACTCGGATTTTCGAAATCCGAGTCCTTAATTTTAATTAGAACTCGGATTTTGAAAATCCGAGAGATATATTTCTGTGCACAAATATTCTGAAAAATTTAAATTTGTCCACGTTTATTTAATTAATTTTTTTGGGAAAAGGCCCGTTACTTTACTCATTTCACTAATTAAATATCTGACCAAATGGATACTACAATATACAGTAATGAGGAGAAAAGGAAATTAAACCATTTATAAGGTGTCTTCACAGAATTATCGACACCCAAAATAAGGTGCTTCATAGAGTGAAGAAAATGTGTATCTAGAAAAGCCCATAACTCTTCGAGAATCATGAGTTTCAAGTCAGCAAATTAAAACACCTAAGATGATATATAAACATAACATATAAGATGATATATGAACGTAACATATTATACTACATCCCTCATAACACAAGGCTACTATCTATAAGATCACTGCAACCATCAAAGCAAAAAGTGTTGAAAATGAAATAACAGTTCTCAAATGAAATGCATCAGCATCATTAGAATAAATCTCGGATTCTAGAAAAGCTCCAACTGTGAAATTGGGTTTGGTACCCTAAAGTGCTTGAATACCCCTAATATCATCAAGCTTCAAATCCACCTTCTTTTTTCTAGGCTTCAAGCTCGGATACATGACAGATTCTTTCACATGCAAATGAGCTAAACCCAACAAATGTCCGATTTTGTGTGGCCCCCGATTCCAAATCTATCGCCACCTCCGATTTCGCGCTCACGAAATCCACCGCCCATGTCTCATCCGCATTAAGATGAAACCTTCCACTCCCTAAAACACCATCGAATTTTCGAAAGCTTCTCCATCGTCGTGATCGCCGTTATAAAACCCTATTTTTATATCCGCAAATCCATAATCATCGGTTTTCGTGAATGCAACCAGAGTGATTGATTCCCAATGCCCAAATGCACGTTTAAATGCATCCCTTATGCTCTCCTTATTTTAAAATACCAAGTGAATATATAAGTTCCTTATATTCACTTGATATATCTTAATCAAACCCCGAATGGCAATATCAAACCACCAGTAGAGAGATCAGGGAAGTCGCAGGCTCCCTTATTGATACGGAACTCGAGCACTTGGCCAATCATGTTGTATCTGATTTTACTTCGTTGGTCCCTTGTACTGCTTTATATTCCCGGCGCCCTCTGTGTCCTTTAGCTCTGTTGATATGGGAAACCTGTGCAAATGTATTGGTCAGTACCTTTATCAAAGGAATGGAAACGTTCAGCTAACTTGTTTAATATGACATTCTAAGATCATGATATCATACTTACTATGTGAGATTTCCACTCCACTTTTCTATGTTCGCCAGCAACTCTTGCGGGATTTACATGATCGCGAACATGCCCAGAAATTTCTCTGAACATGACAACGTCAAAAGCAGCATATTTCAACTGTAAAAATTTTATTCAGGATATGCCACGTAACACATAGTCAGTTGGAAAGGTTAGAAATATTTAGGCTAGTCAATACCTTTAAGACAGAATTCTTTTGCATAAATGACAAAATAATTCTTACACTTTAGCGCAATCATCTTGAAGAATATGAAGGTAGGTTTGTCACTTTTTTCTAATCACCTAAAATTTCAAAACAGAGATGCATTTAATAAAAGTTTCTTAAACATCCAATGAATTGATATCATAAATTGCACTCAATCAGAGAACCACAGTGTTGCAACTTCTCTTTCCTTGCTCTTTGAGGACTATAAACAAACACGTAAAATGCATATCACATCAATTTTAACTCCAATATCTGAAATTTATTATTGTGGCGCTCCATATGCAAATAGGGAGGTTAAACAAATAGCTTACCTTGTTTGGTGCAACCATTTTCCCAAATTGTCTAAACCATACATTGCAGACAACCTATTAAAACCACAAAACGGACAGAATTAAGAAAAAAAAATTATCTGGATGAATTAGGCAGAAAAGTATATCACTTGAAGAAATTCTAACAATTTTTCTAGTCTAAAATAGTACAACTTGAATCCAGTCTAATCTCTTACACTAAAACAATAGAACCATGATCAGAATTTTAAAAGGAACGACAACAAACTTTGCTATTAGTTAAATGAAAATTAAGCAGTGCGAAATCATCCCATTTGGTCCACATATATTTTCTCCGAATGGATCCTTTTCACAGTTAAAGTCATTGGAGCTCCTCAATCATAAAAACAAAATGGTGGAGATCATTACTTACCCCCTATTGGAGCCATCGACTAATCGACTGGAGATATTGGATCGTTATAATGTTGTATTCTGGGGCGGTGAAGAGAAACAATCGCCGTCATCGTCGCATTCAGACAAAGAAGTCGAATTAGAAAAATAACCCATACGAATGAAGGAAGAAATTCAGCCCTTCACGAGTAGAAGAGTTTTGAACAGAGAAATCGACGATGGGAGATAGGACGGATGAATGAACGGGGAGGAAAACGACAATTTTCCGGAGCTTGAAGCTTCGTGTGGACAATTTTCTGAGATAAGCATAAGAGAGAGGTGGAGAAAAGAAAGACTACGCGGTGTGATTACGCTGGTAACCGGCAACCGAAAGAGCACATTGCGGTGAAGAAACAATCGCCTGAAGGAGAAAACCCAAGGTCCAACCATCTACCGCTACGTCATCAAAAGCAGAAGACAACTTAGAAGGAACCGTGCCAAAATTTGTCATTCCCCCTTTATATTATCTAGATATACGTCTTCCGTCCTGAAAAATAATGTACATTAAGTTTTGAGTTTTATATTATTTTTAGTACAAATTTGAAAACTCAATTTAAACTATTTTTTTAAGGACGAAAGTAGAACTAGGGACATGGTAGACCGCACCAGGTACGGTCATTTGCGAGCAAAGACCCGTTGTGATTTTGTGATTTTGTTGCAAGTACAAAAGAGTTTGCAAAATTGAGAAACTTCATAACCCTAAACCCTCCTAAGTCCAGGTAATACAAATTAGTTAATGAAGAAAGAAGCCTAATCCTCTCTGAACTAACACCGAGGGCAAACCTCATTATTAGATGGTATGGTCCACAGTCATAAACAAAAAAAGGCAAATCTTTTTGGTTTGAGTACATTTGGAACTGAAGGCAGTGATACTGTAGTTAATTCTTCTTGAGTAGGAAGTTAAAGGGTTCCTTCATGTAGATGATAAGATGATAATAAATGGCAGAAACTGTGGCAGACTGAGTGAAAAAAGCAGCTCCTGGAATGCCAAAACTGATTTGCAACATCGAAAACATAATGCATAACTAAATCATAAACTTCAACATTCACAGGCTCACCGGAAGAGGTTTCCCTCTCCATGATTATAGAGAGGTTTTCCAAAGCTTTAGCCTTTATGCTTCCAAACCATTCTTCATGGGGATCCTGATAATGGGCTGACTTTTCAGGAACTTCCTCTTGATTAATTCTTTCGGGGATGTACTCAAGTTTGATAAGTTCTGATTGAATGTCTGGTTGAGAAGTCATCTGTATCGAACGTGTTAAGACTACTGTGACCTTGATACCTTTAGCAGCTATGAGCTTAGAAATTTGTAGCAGAGGCTTAATATGGCCTTGTGTAGGCAAACTGATGACTAGATCATCAGGTTTGATAGACATTTCTGTTCTGCAATTATCATGCATCATGCATCAATAAGGCTGAATCATTAATTAACCAGAAAGATAAACTAAAGTAATCAGGAATTTGTGTAGATTGATTTAAGAAAGGTAGTAGATGAACCATCTCACTGCAATAAGGTTCTTTATGATGAGAAAAGTAAGCTGCTAATAATATAATAATTTCTGTTTGGAGACTTTTAGTCGTATATCTGTCTCTTTCACCATTTATGTAATTGCTTTCTGTTGCTGGTTTTGCCCTTTTCTTCTGACTATAATGGTTTTTAAATAGCATGTTGAGCCAGTTGATAGATATAAAATCATTATTCCGCAATGATACAGTGTCATAAGATTACATCTGAAAAATCATAAATCTTACTGAAGTTAACAAAATGTAACCTATTTATTTGCTGCCAGAAATCTACAGAAAAATTATTGTTTCCTTCTACAACTACTCTAATGGGGCAAGAGGAATACAAAACTTGGAGAACCTTATGGAAAAACAAATGTGCCAGTCTCAACTCACGCTGCATCGAGTAAGCTTGACGCATAACTTACCGGCCAAGATCTAACCCGGGGAGGTGACCCGCTTCATAATCCCGCCCAATTTATTCAACCGCGTCGCATTAGTGGGACGTTCCCTAAACGGCGGCTTCACCATCATTACGGTGTCCTTGAAACCCTCCCAAATTGTCAAATCGTGGGCTGTAACCGTAGAAATGTGGGAGGATTAAACTTCGGCTTTAAACAACCAGAAGAGCCCTCAAAAGCTCATTCCCCTTTATTTTTCTCCAAAATATTAAGGCTCCATCCTCTGCCAAAACGCTCCAGTTGCTTTTTGGCGGAATATTCACAAGCCCAATTTGATATACTGCCCTGGTAACTTTATCGCCGGAAGACCCACGAGTGAGGAATCAAGAGGATATTGGGAGGCTATAACTCAAAAGATGAGTGGTCTTTCCCCCTTCCAATAGTAAGTTCTCAGATCTGAGCATTTGTATTTCGTTTTGGATTTCTCCAGTTGAATTTGTAGCGTAAATCTCAACTTTCCTACAAATAGATAATCATGGCTAGAGATCCAAACCAGAAATCAGTTGACGACTTTGCGTCCACTATAGATAGTGTCGAGAAGGTAAACTCAGTGAACCCTAGATCTAGAAGCTAGAGCCCCCCTAGGAAACGAGAGAGCCAGTACTCCTCCAGAAGGAAAAATCACCATATATGATAGGTTTATATTCTTAGGCATGAGATTCCCCCTTTTTTCTTTGTTCGAGGAGATCGTCGACTATTATAAGATCCCCTTAGCACGTTTCACCCCGAACTTGATTACCTACGTTCTTGGATTTGTGAAAATCTATCAACGAGTAAAGGTGAAGGCGTGCCTGTTCTTGTAGAGATATTTCTTTAAAGTGTCCACACCCTTGACAAGTTTCCAAGACTGGTATATAGTAAAGAGAAACCTGGCTTCAAGTTCTAGGAAGATAGTAGAGGGGTATGGTGGTTCCCCCATATGGAAGCCAAACTTTCTCTATATAACAGCACCGGAAAAATACCGCATCGCCTAGAATTATCAAGAGACCAATGGATATGAGGCGATAAAAGATGAATGGACGGATGAAGATGACGAAAAGATCCAGGAATTCGATGGGTACTTGAAGAAGCTCGAAAAGTATTTCAAGGTTGTGAGATGGGATACGTTACAACATTTTACTCCTGCCATTCCTGTCGAGGAAAAGGAGAAAGAGAACCTCGTCGAGATTCCACTCGAGGCTCCTCTCAAATCCCCTGTTGAAGAAAAGAAAGATACTAATCATTTTTACTTCCTTGCTTGTTTTTAGGTCATGTCTAAGAGCAATGCTGGCTCTCAATTATTGGTGATGAAGATCCCTTTCCCAATGTAAATTCAGATGAAGATGTCACGGCCATTGCAGTTGCTGGCCCGAAGAAGAAAAAGAGGCGAATCGTCAAAGCCTCCGAGAAAGAGAAGAGCAAGAAGGCAAAATCCAACGTGCCCCCGACTGAGAATCTTACACAGCCCGAGAAAACTGTCCCCCCCTACTGTTGAATAATCTCAGGTTCCGCCCTTGGAGTCTAGATCAAACGTTTTTTCCACTGCCAACAAGGACGCAAACCCTCTCGATGGAGAGGTACTAATATTTCCTCCCCAATTGTTTTTGGGAGAATCTACAGCGGCAGTCCACACGTTTAGTGAGCCACCGACAATCGAGTGTCCCCTGGTGGAGGAATTCACCTCGTAGCTGAATGAAACCGACAACATAAGACTATAAAGGTTTTCTTCGTAATTGACTAATCATGCTTGTAATTGTGGATTAGGGAAACCGTTCTTAACACCTCGATTTCATACACCTGAGTGCGTGCTCGATAGCAAATCTAATGCACATAAGGAAGTTGAAAGAAGAGTTGGTCCTAGCCCGGGCTGAACGAGATCAGGCTTTGAACAAGAAGATCGTTCTGGAAGAAAAGTCGAGGGAAGTATTGGCCAAGGAGCAGGAATTGGCTTCCGTGCAGGCTAAGTACAACGAGCTCAAGGAGCAGCTTAAGGGTTATGCCAACCTACACATCTCGAAGGAGGACCTGCACAAGTGGTGTGCTACCTTCATGTACAGGATGATGGTGACAGGTGGGATGGCAGCAGCCATCGAGGAGGTGAACCTAGTTGCTACTGAATGTGGCGCACACTGAGTTGCTATGGCGGGCCTTAAAAGGCTTAGGGACGACAGACCCATCAAGGCCAAATGGTTCAAACAACTTCTAATCCCGGAGCCAAAGAAAACCATGCAGGAGGTGATGGTGAAGGTCCTAACTAACCTCAGCATCGAGCAACTGCCCCTATGGGAAGCCCTGACGGGAGCCATGGCTAAAATGAACTCTCCCTCGGACATTGCGTCGTTTCCTGGAGATGTCCACACAATTTTTGCCAAGGGCCCAAGTGAAGAGGATCCCATTCCTGATGTGCCAGACGAATATATGGGGATCAAGCTTGAAGATGCTGATGACGAAGCTACTGATGTGAATGTAGCTGACACTGGCCATTCTGGGGTGCAGAGAAAGGCTGAGGAGACGTCTCAATCCAAGGATACATCACTTGATCGAGATGTTGTATGAACCTTCTCTTCTTGTAATAGTAGTTAGGATTTTCAAACTTAAGAATTTTATGTCGAATTATTATTTCCCCTTTTCCGTCAACATGGATATTGCTCCCTTTGCTTTCTTTTGACTTAATGCAAATGTTTCCTACTTCTCTGTTGGAACAGGATGGTTGGTCTGTTCATCGTGTCTATCTTATGGTATAGTCAGAAGAATAGGCAAAAGAACTCCCCCTATATTCCATGATTAGCGGTATCATGAGGGGTCGTGCCGACATTCACAGTGTCGAGACACTAGAAAAATTGCAGGTTGACCTTCTCGACGTGACGTGGGCACACAACGTGAGAGTTAACCAACATCTGATTAACGAGATCAAAGAGCTTCGTACAGAGATGCAACGATGAGATTTCCAGAAAGACAAAGATTTTGGGGATTCCTTGACATTCGAGGCCGATATTCGCGACGAACTTGTTGCCTTAAAGAGGGAAAAGACACAGCTGAGTCAAGGTCAAAAGGTCACCGTATAGCCATGGTTTCTCGAGAAACACCACGTGTTGGCTCAGGTACAGCACATGATTTCCAAAAGAACTCGTACATTCGTTGCAGCGATGGATATGTTGAAGGAGAGAGTTCAGGAGGTCGAGCTCCTTACAGGATATATCAACGACCTGCAGAACTTACTATTAGACCATCAGATCGACTTCCCAATCTTTGAGAAGCCTGAATTAATTGCCGATCCTCGAACCCAGAGTTCTCGAGAAGAATTGCTTATGAGGGTACATGCCCAAGATGAAGAGATTGTGGATCTCAAGGATAAACTGAACCAATGTGTAAATCTCCTTAGCCAGCATGGGTTTAAGGGGATTATTCGCCCTTCCCCTGATAATCCTATCAGGGAAGTTCTTGTAATAGTGTAGAAGAGTATGTATATTCTCTACGTCCTCACACAGTTGTGTGAAGGAAATGTAAATAGTATGGTTTCATGAAACTCGAGTTTTTAATTCCTATAGCGCTTGTTGGCCGGATGTAAAGTGCCCGACTCAGTCGAGGGAATTATTTACAAATTCCTTGATTCTATACTGCGATCTGCAGTGGGTACGAGGAGGATTCCTCGATTTGTGTCCGGATGTTGAATACATGACTCTTTAACGAGGATGGCCCTAAGGAGGGAGTCCATCTCGATGACTAGTCATGAATAAGATGTCGACAATGAAAAAGAATATGTAATGTCTTTTATTGAATAATTACCCGAGGACCCGGGTTAGCATTACATATGGAAAAAAATTGACAAAGTAAATAAGGCAAATAAAACACACAATTGGGATAAGCAAATAGCAAGCAAAGATTCAAACATAGAACCTGCGGAGCTTCTGAATGTTCCACCGTCGAGGGAGAATAGTTCTACTATTGTCCAATTTGCTGGGGAAGCCTGGATGACTTTGTAGGGTCCTTCCCAATTTGCTGTGAGTTTTCCAGGAGTTTCTGCTCGACTGCTTCATTCTTTCTTAACACGAGATCGCCTACCAGGAGATCCCTGGCCTTCACTCTCTTATAATAACACTTTCACAGAATCTCCTTCTACTTTGCCTCTCGGATTTTTACTGCGTCTCGCCGCTCCTCGAGCAGGTCGAGGTTCAGCTTGATGTCATTGTCATCAGTGCTCTCGACAAACTTTATTGTTTGAGGACTCGACAAGCCTATTTCGACTAGGAGAACTACATCCGTGCCGTAGACTAAGCTATACGGAGTTTCGTCTGTCAAGGAATGAGCGGTAGTACGGTATGACCATAGGACATGAGAAAGCTCGTCAGCCCATGCTCCTTTAGCGTCAAACAACCTGGTCTTGATCACATGTACGATGGTTCTGTTGACAGATTCCGCCTGACCGTTAGCTT